GTATGTGCTAGGCACAGACTGCCTACATGACCAGCCCCCTACAATGACTCCAAGTATTAGGTCTCTAATCGATTTCCCTGGTAGACAGCATGTCACATGTGTTGTCACAACTTGTTACTGGGGAAATTAAATATGTTCTGTGTGACTCCCCAGAGAGAGGACCTTTGGAAGCTTGCATCCAGTTTTCCCCAGACTTCACCCATGTATCTTTCTCTTTATTGATTTTGCTTTGTGTTCTTTTGCCGTAATAAATCATAGCCCTAAATATGACTATATGCTCAGTCCTGCGAGTCTCATGGAGAATCATCGAGCTGCAGGTGTGGTCCTGGGGATCTCAGACACAGTTGGAAATAAGTGTGAAACAGTCAACAAACAGCAAGAAGGCAAGTGTGGCTGGAGTCATGTGAGTGAAGGGAAGTGGCAGAAGATATCAGAGAGATAGGAAGCACTTGATCATGTAAGGCCTTGTTTAGATTTTATTCTGAATGTGACAGGAAGCCACTGGAGGCTCTGAACAGGAAGGGACACTGGTCTGGCTGCTGCTAAGAGAACTGCCATAAGGGGGGAAAGGGGGAAAGCAGGGACACCAAGCAGGAAGTTCTTAAAGACATGAGACTCTTCAACTGCCCTTGGGTGGTTCAGATCTGCTTCAGAAAGGAGAAACTTACGTTCATCTTTAAGGATGAGTAGAAATATGATAACCTTGGGCAAAGGGTTGAGGAAGGTATTCCAAACAGCAGGAAGAACTTGTACAAAGACCTAGAGGCATAAACTGCATGGTGTATTTGAAGATTGGTGAAGAGTCTGATATAGCTGTAAGAGGGTCTTGGGCAGAGCTGTGGGAGATGAAGTCACAGAGGCCAGCAGGCATGCTGCACACGGAAGGCTTTGGGAATCATGCTAAGGAGTTTGTGCTTCATCTCACAGGCAAATAGGGAGATAATGAAGAGCTGTAAATAGGGGAGTTATGGATCAAATCTGGGTTTTAGGAAGATCAATATGGCAGAGATATGGATGAGAGGCCAATAAAGGAAGCAAGTCTAGAAGTAACTGTCATAGTACCCAATTCTAATGTAGTTGGGACTGCACAAACTTAAAGCCATGCATATGTAACTTATGTTATATATAAACAGAGAGAGGTGACATGATCAAATCATGTTAGAAACATGCTAATCAAAGACCTCCTCGCAAACATCTAAAGGTATTTACTCCCAGGAGGGTTCTCCTTACCTATGGAACGCTTTAGCAGGATGGATGTGGTGTGTCTAGACTGCTCACCGTACATAAACCTGGGATGTATGTATTTATAAGGAATGCTTCCTAGAAAATATCACACAAGCTATACAATTATCAGGGAATAAACTGGAGATAATTCGTAATGGAAATAGCTCCCTTTCATGGAAGTGACATTCCATATGCATCATTTAGAGGCCTCGTATGTAATCTGGGCCAGGGTGCATCCTAATTGACATAAGCAGGACCTGGGAGTAGCCCTGGCAGTCACAGACTTTCGACATTTTACCTGTGTCTTGTGATAATTATATCTCTGAAGATATTAGTCAAGTTTGGTACTGGGTAAGATCTCTGAGTCTTCTGAGTTCACAATTTGTCAATCTGACCTACTGGGTTTTCCCACAATATTTAATTCGAACTGGAAGAACCAGGATGAATGATACATTTCCTAACCGTATTCACCAAAAAGAGTGACCAGTACTGACAAGTCAGTTGCAATGCATGTCCCTGGTGCCTATATTGTAGTGTCTAAATGCAATTTCCCACTAAAAGGAATTTGGGTTTTTTGTTTTTTGTTTTTTGAGAAATGGCTGATTTATTTCTGGGTTAGGAAATTTGTAAGATGAATTTAAGACATCCCATCTTGCCTAAAAAGAAACAAGTTTAAAAGTCACCTACGATATTATGCTAAGCGAAATAAGTCAATCAGAGAAAGACATGTATCATATGCTCTCACTGATATGAGGAATTCTTAATCTCAGAAAACAAACTGAGGGTTGCTGGAGTGTGGGGGTGGCAGGGATGGGGTGGCTGGGTGACAGACACTGGGGAGGGTATGTGCTATGGTGAGCGCTGTGAATTGTGTAAGACTGATGGATCACAGACCTGTACCTCTGAAACAAATAATACATTATATGTTAAAAAAAAAAAAAAAAAAAGAAGATAGTAGGAAGGGAAAAATGAAGGCGGGGGTAGAAATAGGAGAGGGAGACAAACCATGAGAGACTATGGACTCTGAGAAACAAACTGAGGGTTCTAGAGGGGAGGGGGGTGGGGGGATGGGTTAGCCTGGTGATGGATATTAAAGATGGCACATATTGAATGGAGCACTGGGTGTTATACGCAAACGATGAATCATGGAACACCACATCAAAAAAAAAAAATTCATTAAAAAAAAGAGACAAAAAAAAAGTCACCTATGATTAGTCCAAAAGAATGGACTTAAAGGGACTCTCGGTATGCAAAAATGGGATAACGTGAGCAATGAAAAAGAAGGACTGCAATTGCGTGAAGCAAACATATGTGAAACCCATGGATCTGGAATGATGCTCAGAAGCAAAGCAAACAGAAACAGACAAACAAAAATGTACTTACTGGCCTCCTTTGGAGGTTGCTAGAGTACCAAATTATTTGAAAATATTTCAAGGGAAAGAACCAAGCATCTATCCTGCTTTTAAGGACTGTGTTTCAGGGTAACCAATTAGTTGACGAGGGAAAGTTTTTCTTTATAAAATAATCCCAGGTAACAAATGCAGGAGAAATTATACATTAGAAAGCCATCACTTTGCAATTCCTAGTGAAATAATGGGTCCAGACAACAAACAAAACGGTTTTCACAATCTCTAGGTGAAAGGTCAGTGAGGAACTTCTGAATGGCTGGATCAGACTGACACCACCCAGCTTCACTGATCAATTACTAGAAGTGGGACAATCAGATACTCTACATGCCTCCGGATGTAATGTAATAGGAAGTATACAGTACTCTATGAGATAATCTCAATGAAAAACCAGAGCTAAATCTACTCAGCCTCTAGAGTTAACTTCCAGTTTACAGACTAGACAGCAGATGGTGGAACAAGTTCAATGACATTACAAGGACATGACCAGTTAGATGTACATGTGGGAAACTGGATAGCACAAAGGATATTATTTCTTTACCAAATAAAATGAAATAAAAACAAGGGATAGAGAACTGTTATAGATTAAGAAAAACCTAAGATCTTAGTGTGGATACTAACTCAAACAAATCAGTTCTAAAAAGATATCTGAACAGGGAATACTGCAGAGAGACTGGGGATTGGGTGATTAAAGAATAATCGTTAATTTTGTGGGTGTTAAAATACCACTGTGATTTTGTTGGGGAAAAAAAGCCGTATTTTTAGAGATACATACACAGGTGAAATAACATGGAATTTGCTGTAAATACTCTAAGATAAAGAAAAGAGTAGATTCGTATGGGGTGGCAGAGATGCAGCAAGAATAAGAGTGTGGATGGCCGCTGACCCTAGGTGATGGGCAAGGGGGTCATTACACCCTCCACTTTTGTGCACATTTTGAAGTCTCCCTCATAAAAAAATAAAAAAGAACGAATTAAACTATAATATTTGGCAAAAATTTAAAAATGGTAATACATACTTGGCTGAGGCGCAGGAAAAGGAGTCGTTTCAAAGGAAGCAAGCAGAATTACTTTTCTGAAGAACAATTTAACAGTATGGGATCAAATGTCTTTTAAAATTTTACATTCAGTCCAGCAAATTTACTTTAAAAAACTAATTCTCAGAAAATTTTCATAGATGTGCACAAGGATACATCTAAAATGATCTCTCAGCAAAAAAAAAAAAAAAAAATTTGTAAAAAAATTGTAAACAATCTATTTCTAATTTATGGTATATTTACATGTAAATTTTTAAAGTTTTATTTACTTAAGTAATCTCTATGTCCACCGTGGGGCTTGCACTCATGACCCCAAGATCAAGAGTCTCATGCTCCTCCGAATTAGCCAGCCAGGTGCTCCTACCTGTAAAATTTTTTTATAGCCATAAAATTGTAAAAGAATACTAAATGATAGGGGACAATGTTCAAGACAAACTGTTAAGCACAAAACGCAGGCTGTAAAATAGCATATACATTTTGACCCAATTTAGTCTTAAAACTATACATTTAGAGAAGAGCCTGAAAAGAGTTTTCTCCATCATGTTAACAGCTGTGTTGTCTAGCTGATGGGATTAAGGTACTTTTAATTTTTTTAGACATGGTTTTTCTATTCATGGGTATGGATATTTGTAATAAAAAAAATTCTAATTTTGAAAAAAGATTGTATTTTTGAAAGGTAAAATCTGGATCAATTTCCAAAAGTGGCTAGTAACAGAGTAATAAGTGGGTATCGTAGTGATCTTTGAAATAATAAACAAAATAACAGAAGGTTGGTGGGACAGGGCGGAGTGGATTAATAATTCTTAGAAAGATAGCTATTTAGCGCACACTATTATGAGAAAGAGCAAGTTTTAAATTTAAAAACAGAGGGTGTCAAGAAGATAAAAGTTAGAAGGGGATCAAAGTTTATGTAAGCTTCAGTTAGATAAACACCTACATCAATTTCCTAGGGTGATTGGGAAGGTTATTGTAGTAAAAATCCTAACACAATTCTGAAAATAACCAGAGCAGCATATTAGATAATCTTTCTTGAGTTTCCATTTTGTGTACCACTTGGGCAGGTAATTATATACTGGAGTACAAAAAGAGAATGTCAGGATATTAACATAATAATGCAATTTTGATTATCAAATTCAGCTTATGTAACTTGGGTCAAAACTGTTGTGAATAACTTTGATATATAAAAATCTAGAAAATCATAAACTATTACACTCCACACATTGTATGTGGTTCACAGTCAATAAAACCAGACTTCTGCATCTTTCTACATTTGTTTAAAATTTCAGTTGTCTCCTTCCTAAATTAGGCAAAAACAAGGAAAATGTCCAGACTACCTTGTTTCCGTACTTTCGTTGGTTCTTCATAGTCCTTGTTTTCTGGATTCGGAGATTCTAGAAAGCTGATCTCTTCTGAGACACTTTCCCCTTCTTGGCTCCTGAGGCTGTCTTCCTCTTCTTGAACTGGTGATTCTAATTCTGATTCTTCGGAATCAAGAAATATCTGACCAGCAACTACTCTGCCTGCTGTGTTGTGGTCCTTTACCGACTCATCTGATGGCAAAGAAGTCTGAAAATACAAAATATTTTTAGTTTTCAAAAAGTATCAGGACTGTCTCCAATTTGACCATTACTTTTACTAATCCAGATATATCTCCTTCAGCTGTGAATGTGCCATACTTGCTCATCTCTCTAAAGTTTGGTATGTGTTCATCACAGGCCTTCACCACTTGCCTAACCTGACTCTTTCTTCCAATTTTAACTTAGATGTTATTTCCCCCAGGAAGCATTCCTTAACTCCTGAAGCCTGGATTAGGGTCCCTTACAAACTCCCAACATAGCTTATACTTTCCCTTATGATAGCCCTGTACTACAACTTTCTGTTTATCTATATTCCCTCAAATCCAGAGATCAGAGATCATAACTGAATGGTCTCCTTGGATACACCATCAGCCTTATTCACTCAACCAAACAATTTAAATGTATCAACTCTACAGATTTATAAAAATTGATAGAAGTGGAAACAAATGGCAGAGGTTAAGTCTTCAAAATTTAAAAAAACTAAAAATTAAAAAAAGGAATAAAATCAATCTCTCACTAGGCAGTAAGAATGTTACTGCCTTCAGGCTCTTACACACACAGCACATTCGAGTTAAAATTAAACCTAATAACCAACACTCTGAATGAAAATATTTATTATTCTGTCTCCTATAGGTCAGTGATTCCCCCCCCCACCCCGGAAGAACTAGTGTATTGATACCAGCTATGTTTTTCTTTCTTTTTTTTTTTCTTAATCCAATTCTGTTGCTCAAAAGATAGATTTCATATCCTAAGACACATAATTCATGCTTTTAAATTGGGCATCAAATACTGGCCAATGCAAATTTTAGTACACACCTTGGAATCTAAGGATTCATCTTGACTGCCTTCTTCATCTGTAAAGAAATTTTAAGACAATTTCATCATCCTTCTTGTTGGAAATCACAGGTATTGTTAAAGCACTTGATAAATACAACAAATAATAATCAGACACCTGATATATATATCTAGAATTATCTAAAAAATGGTTGTATTCAACAACTGTACAGAAAAGATTAGGTAAAAGGAAAACAAGGGGTTAGATGGGGTAGTTCTTCCTCTTTCTCCAGGGAAGGCACTAGCTTCATCTGTTATTCGGGTGAGAAGACCGGGTGAGAAGACGGACTACCATCACCACCATCACCACCACCAAAACCAGGCAATTCTTCAGATACCATCCAATTCTTCTGTTCGTATTTAGTCTACTACTGAGTTACTAAACTTATAAAAATAAATCTCTGATTTTGTGGTTCAGGGTTCCACCTATTATTTTCCTCTGCTCAGAATCTGGAGTTACAGAGCTTATTTTAGTGCTGATTAGCATTTTACTGTTCACTGAGACTACTAAAGATGGACACTAACAATTATTATTATGTGACAGTAGAGTTGCCAGACTAAGATACTTAGGATTTGTGTTCTACTCTACTGAAGAGTTAACCAGATAAAAGCAAAAAGTAGCATCATACCATCATGTACTTACTCACATGAGATTTATTAAGAAATCAGTATCTCATATTAAATAAACAATGAATCCAGCCCCTGGCTACACCTTTCTTCCAAATTCTTATCTGCTGCTTTGGCTTTGTCCAATTATGTTAATTTTCCTTCTATTACTCTGTGTTTTTCTGCTATTACTTCTATTCTGGCTAATTGTTATTCTTTTTCCTGTTCTTACACAAATACATTGAACACAGTGTCCATACACGTTTGGTTATTGTATTCCTGGCCAGTTTAGAAACAACAACAACTGTTAGATGATCTCTCGGTTTCCTTCTTACTCTTAAAATGATCTGATTTTATCCAGGAGTGAGCTTCAGTTATAAGCTCACTTATATGTGTGGATGTGTTTAAATAATCACAAATATTAACTAGTTAATATATCAAGAACAGACGTTAAATGTGTAAATTATGTATACAGTATATCCCCAAACTTTAGATGAGCCGGAACTCTTAAATCACTAATCACTAAATCATGAAATTTAGTACCTTCTCACAACAGGTCACATAAGCAGCAAATAAGTATATAACACAGATACCTATAAATAAATTTGAAGACATATACATTTGAGACACTACAAGCTATTACACATTCGAGTAGCAAAATGTGTTTCTGAACTCCAAGAGACAACGGAAACCTGTGACATCAGGGTTATTTCACGTGAATTGCATCATGCTTCTGTCTCTCCTCTCTTCAAACTAGGGATATATGCTAAGGTTACTGGTAAATAAAAGAATTCTCTCTCATTTACTAAACTGGGAAAGTCAACTCCAGATGGTAGTCTTAAAGCATAAGCTATTTTCTCTTTCACTGATATATCCATTCACGTAACACTTATAGAAGTTGCTTATAATCTATATGTAGTAGTCAGGTAATAAAGACACTGAAGTTATGCATAAACAAAAAGAAAATAATAATGCTTTTAGCAGAACACGGACATCAAGAAAAAAATGCAAAAGAATTCAATGAAAAGTTATAGATTTCTCATTCAACAGTATGACATCCAAAATATAATGGTTTATGTTACGTTAGTAATTGTATACTTTCCTCTGAAAAAGACCAACTTTCATTTTTATTATATCAGCCAACCAAACTGCAAAAAGTACCAGGGATATTCTTTCAGGGAAAAGTAATCATCACAAATTCATTTTCCGATTTGTCATGTAAACTAAACAGATTGATAGACCTTCAAACACAGAAAGTCCTAAGAGTTTGGTGAAAAGAGAGCAGACATCCTGTTCTCTGCTTTACCACTGAATCTGTGCAGATCCTACAATACTCCTGATTTTTAATTACTCCAAATCGAGGGCTGGAGAGCTAAGTTCAACACCTGGCTTCATTACATATTAATTTTATACACATGGTTCAATATAGCAAGCTTGGTCAGCCTCCTCTTTCTCAACCTGTCAAAAGAGAATAATACCATCTGTCCTGTTGACTCACAATAATGTTTTAAGGAACAAAAGAACAGTGAAATTAAACATCATCTACAGTCTGAAATGTACTCTTTGAATATCTGATAATAGAACTATTACCTGAAATGCTTAGCAGTGGACCTAATTTAAAAGATTCTGTAACACTGTTTGGCATAAAGGAAAAAAAAAAGCAAACCATTTGTCTCTTCCTGCTGAAAATAAGAAAACAAGTATTTCTAAGTGAGAAAACTTACAGCATTTTTCATTATTGAGGAAATGGAGAAATATCTTTTTAACCTCCTCCTTTATTTATTCACAGGAAAAACATTTTGAATAAAAGTGTTGTATTTTTATATGCCTCTAAAACAAGATATGAAATAATAGCTACTAACAGTGATAGGATCAAGATTCCCTTTGTTGGCTGATGGTACCTGGTAAATATGCAACTTGCTTTGGTAACCACTAACATTCAAACTTTAAGTCAGTGCAAAATTATGGCCCAAGACTTGATTTTTAAATAGGAGCAAATCTTTAAACTAATACTGAGGCTGACTTCCTGTATACATAAGCAATTTAATGAATAAAAAAAAGTCAACTGAAAATCCATGTACTCAATTTCTAAAACTTTACCTCACCTAAGAGTTTTACTAGGATTGCACTTCACGTGAGCACAGTAGTGCCTTTATTACCTATCAGCATGCACATCTCTGCTGTTTTAGTTCTGGCTAAGTATGGATTCTGCCTCTGCCAGAGAAATGCTTTGGCACAGGTGCTACGATGGAAATCAGAGCAGACATTTTTTGAACCCAGTCCTCTGCTTACATCAACACAATCCGAAGATTTAACACTTCAGTGTTAGTAATCCGCTATTATAACATCCCAAGAATCCCAACTGTTGATTAAATGACTTCTTCAAGTACCATCTCCACTGACCTGAAGCTCTTAAGTATATGAAATCTAGTTAACGGAAGACACAGGAAAATGTTTGTAGGGCTTTAATTTTCTTTAAATTCTGCAAATTGAATTCAGAGGGATACTTACTATGTTCTTTAACGAGTCATTCTTACACTTTAGTGTGAAGAATTACTTGTGAAGCTTGCTGAACTACAGATGCCCCGACCTGTTCCAGACCTAAAACTGCATGTTTAACAAACTCCTAAGAGGAATTCTGATGCATGTGGTCTATGGCCCATCAGGTACTCTATCCATTACACTCAACAGTTTCATTTCATACTTCCTTCGGTCAAATAATTGCTAACAGTGCTTTAAGAGTTAGGTAGAGTTTTGGAGATTTGGTCATGAATGCAAACCATTACTAAAAAGGGGGAAGGCAGACCTCAAAGCATGATGTTGGCAGTAAAGTAACTAGCATATGCTTGTTGCTTTTGAAATGGTATCTCAAACCACAATATGGATAGAATTTTAGGTTTAGACCTCTTATTTTAGAAACAGAATGACGTTACGGCATTGACTTACAACTAGGACAGATAATTTGGGGATTCAAATAGCCATCTGGGGAATTTTCTGTTGGGGAAAAAAAAAAAGAGAGTTGACATTTATACCCTGCCTTGTTCCAAAAAAATTTAAAGCCACAGAACAGCTGTCTTGTTAACTAAACTGATTAAAATTCAAAAGCTTTACTGTACTGTTTCTTCACAAACACTAAGTGCTTCTTTATCAACACTTTCAAAATAAAAGTTTTCTGATGTAGGCAGACTGAACTATTAAAAAAGAAAAATACATTTCCGAACCATAGTATTAATCTGCTAACTGGAAAATCAGTTCAAAAGCACATGAATTTATATATCTATACAAAACATGAAAATCAGCTGCTATACATTTTAAATTTATAGGGACCAAGATTTTCTCAAAAAATCACAAAGTTATATTAAACAAACATGGGGCAACTCAGAAACACTGTGACAGAGATAAACACCACTTTCTCGGGGATATTTCCTAAAAAGGGATAGAGAGTGGACACAGTTACATCAAAAGTCTTCATTTTTAAATAGACAAAGAGACAGGGGGCCACCTCAGGTGCTAAGCCAACCCACCAAACCACTGTCAACAGCCCGGTTTTGATGGACCTGGCTCTGCTCAGCGATAACCCCAGGTGTGCCAATTACTTAATTTACAAATCCCAAGCACAGAGTCTGTTTGAGAGTTGAGGAAGTTCCAGTAAGGCTCAGGTGTCACTGCGGATCTAAGCCAGCTGTCGGGATTCATCCCCAGAGTCAATTCCTCATTCGCGAGGAGTCGCGTAAAGTTTGTTAAGTGAGGAGAGGTGTGGGCAGGGTGACCGCCCCTTCTCTTCCTCCCCTTTCTAGCTCCCTAAACACCCCCTCTAGCCCAGGCCAGCCAAAGCCCGAGGAATGACAGCGAGTGACAGGCTAGTGCGAGGTGTGACCAGAGAGAGCGGAGTCTCCAGCTCGAGCTCCCACGGCCCTGCCCCGGGACGGAGGCCGGGGGGTGGGGGGGCGGTGGCTCCCGGCCTCCAGTCCGAGGGGGCGGATACTGACCCGAGGACGCCGAGGCCGAGCCCAGCAGCACCGCACAGAGCAGCAGCGTCAGCCCAACTCGGACCCGCATTCTGCTCTCGCGGCCGCTGCCACCCCCTGGAGCTGTCTCTTTCGCCTCTGCCACCACCGACTCAGCCACCGCCGCCGCCTCGCCGCTGCTCTTCCTGCTCTGGTCTCCTTCCCCCGCCCCTTCCCAGGCCTCCCTGCCCTAGTGCGGAGCCAATCCCCGCCCGCCGCCTCGGGCTCTGTGCCCAATCCCCGCAGTCTTCCCTCCCACCTTATTGCCCCGCCCCCGAGGTCAGGCATTGACCAATCATTTTGCGAGATTCCCACACGGGCTTTCCCGGTTGGACCACGGCCTCACGACATGGCCCCAGCTAATTGGTAGATCCTGGGTTCAACCATCCCGGAAACAGACCGTGAGTCCAGGGCCGGGAAGAAAAGAAAGTAACTCAGGACTACAATTCCCACAATGCACTTTATGGGCCTCTTTCGAAGTGTGCTCTCGGAAAACGTATCCCATTATGGAGCAAGATTTAAAAAAGTGCAGGTGGCTGTTGAAATCAAGAGAACTTGCTTAGGTAACACCTTGGCTAGACGTTAGCTCAAGCCTACGAACCCACAGCCTATGTATTTTTTTTTGAGCCAATATATATACACACACACACACACACACATACATATATATCAAGGAACACACATTATAAGGTTAAGAGTTTGTAATGTGTTAAGCTCTTCTTCCTCTTTGTTTTTTTGTTTTTTGTTTTTAGAAAATTTGAATTGGACAGAGTGATATCAACACTTAGGAAAAATACAACATCTAGACTGAGTTCGAAGTATTTTTTTTTGAATTTAGATAAAACAATGCCATGTATATAGGGAAACCAGGATGGAACTCACTGCCCCTCCTCCTTTCCCTTATAAAACAAAAGGAAATAAACCCGCATCCGGTGCAGATCATTTCAATGCTAGTATTCATTTTTAGGAGGGCCACCAAGTGATAATCATCTGGAAAACGTGCCAACAGCCTTTGCAAAAACCCTTTCAAGCCTTTGTCCTTATCCCTCTCTTTTCGTGAGTTACACTGTTCTCTTTCTCCGTGACTTGAGTTCCGGAGGCTGGAGTAATGTACTTGGAGACAAAGGTGATGGCCATTGCATTGCAGACAACGAAATAGTCTTTTGTATTAAGTACCACCTCCAGGCATGCTCCCACTGGGTAGCAGGCAGTGGCTTGGTTTTCCAGCCCCTTCATCAAATTGTGTAATTCTGTTTTCCCTAGCATCCACCCACCCTCAGCTCAGTCCTGAGTTGAACTCAGTCCTCAGCTCAGTCTGAGGTCAGGGTTCTGGACAAGTCCACACGGGCCACATATCTTAATACCTCCAGGCATTTTCTTCTATCTTTTTTGATAGAAAATCCTCTTTTTCAGGATGAGAATAAAAAAACTAACTGCTAAAAACAACAACAACAACAACAACCCTGCAAAACCCAAAAAGCTAACTGCTATTCCACATTCACATCAGAAGGGATGAAGGAAAATACTGTCCTGTTATTCTCCTGCTACCTCCTTGGCATTCATCTCTATTTCTGTCACTAACAGTGTTTCCTCAGAGTTCCTTTGATTTTAAATCATAGAGTAAATCCTGGTATATTTTTCTCCCTTTTTCATCTTATCAATCATCACATCCTAACAATTTGAGCTATATAATTACTCTTTTATTATTACTTTTTAAAGATTTTTTTTTTTTTAAGCAATCTCTACAGCCAAAGTGGGGCTCGAATTCACAACCCCGAGATCAAGAGTTGCATGCTCAGGAGTCTGGGTGGCTCATTCGGTTAAGGGTCTGCCTTGGGCTCAGGTCATGATCCCAGGGTCCTGGGACAGAGCCCCACATCAGGCTCTCTGTTCAGCGGGGAGTCTGCTTCTTCCTCTCCCTCTGCCACTCCTCCTGCTTGTATTCTCTCTTTCTCTGTGTCAAACAAATAGATAAAATCTTAAAAAAAAAAAAAAAAAAAAGTTGCATGCTCTACTGGCCAGGTGCCCCTGTCATTGTGAGCATTTTTCTCTTTCTCATTGAAAACTTCCCTACTGGGGGTCTCACTTTCCCTTACCTGCCTGATGCACCTGAGTTCTAGCTATATTCACCAACCTCACTCTCTTTTCATTCTCACCAAAGCCACATAGAGCCAGATTAATTTTGCTTTTAAAATTAGATTTCAATTCAGTTCAAATTAAATTAAAATTCCTATTCAAAAATTTTCAATGACTGCCTTTGTCATAGAATCAAAAAACGTTTGAACTTCTGACAAAATAGGAACTTGGGCTGACAGTTCTACTTTATTGGGGAAGTACTGGGAAGAAATTTCTGCCTTCTACAAGAGGAGCAGTTATTATCTGATTGATAAGCTAGGGAATGTTCACTGCTTGAGACTCAGCTTGTTTTTTCATCTTTTTCTTTCCCAAGTGCTTCTTATATTTAAGGCCCCGTGCTAAGTGCTGCATGAACACATTTCCCACTTCTCTGACTGCTTTTCTGATATCCACATGAACACACTCACACTCTTCCCTTGTCATAGGCTCCTTTACCCTCTCCCTATGGCCCTTGCTTTCTCTGAGCCACAACCATGGCATCCTGCCCATTTTCACTTGTGTTTCATCTTGGCTGAGCCTCTTCTCTGACCAGGCCAGTTCTCGTTATTCTTTATTTCTCTAAGTGTTTACAGAACATTCACAAACTTGCCTTTTAAGTGGGATGCAAACTTTCTATGGCCAGAGACAACTACATAATTCAGTATATAGGTGTATAGCAATGGACTTGCCATCTATTAGCACTAGATAATTTTTGTCAATTGATAGATATGTCTTACTTATCAAGTATTTTAATAATAAGATTTTGAAAGTACTTGCTATCTGTTATAAGTTTACTCTTTTTTTTTCAAGAAAAGATTTTATTTAACTATTGAGAGAGAGATAGTGAGAACAGGGGGAGGGGCAGAGGAAGAGGGAGAGAGAATCTCAAGCAGACTCTGCTGAGCATGATCTCATGATCCTGAGATCACAACCTGAGGCGAAATCAAGAGTCAGACACCTGAGCCACCCGGACACCCCAAGTTGTAAGTTTAATCTTAAAATATCTTACAGGGAAATATTAAGGAACGTTTGCATCCCTAGTATACAGGAAATTTACTTCACTCTTCTGCACCTCTGTAAAATAAGTATATTAATAATATTCTCTTCACCAGGTCTGTTGTGAGGTTCATATCTCAAAAGAGATATGGAGGAAAAAAAGTATTTTTTTAATTATAGAATGTTCTACAAATATTATTTCTTATTGATTGCTTGGTTGAAGCAAAGAAGGAAATCAAAATATTAGTTTGTATAAAGACTAATACAATTAGTTTTATTCCCTTAATATGAAAAAGGTTTAGAGCTGCTAGAGTTATTGTCTTTAGCCAACAATGAGTAATGGATATCTCATGAGAATACTCATAGAACCTTGACTTTTTGGGGAAATTCCAAGTCTCCAAAGCAGGTCTAGAACATGGTGTGGGAAAACCAAACTTATTTTTTCAGCCTGCTAGGTTGCATGATGATTAATTAGTGAAAAGGTTGTGAGTTCTGCATGGCCTTATCTAGTCCAGGCATACATTCCTCATGGTTTCCAGCCAACATTCCCAGTTAAATTTATGTACTCACTGTACTTGTACAAAATGTTAATATTATTTATTAATTTATAGACTTCTTTAATATTTGCTCAGCTGTCTGTATTCTGTTTAACTTGTCCATATCAGTGTTCTGTGTCACTGTCATAGATTTCCAAGTTGCAGAAAACCTGTTTGCTCTGCATTACAACACAGCATAAACCTCCATGGAGGTAAATTATAAGTGCCTCTTCATGCAGATTACACTGAGGTGACCTTATTCCATTGACATTAATCAAGCAACCAGCATATATTAAGAACCTCCTGAAAATGCTGAGGACATAAATCCAGTGTGCTCTTTGCTTAAGGATGGTAAGACAACCCCTAGAGCCTTTTCCTGAGAATGCAGTGATTGTCACTAACTCTAGTCAAGTATATCCTTTCCTGTGCTATTCTTAGGCATTTATTTGGTTGGCCATGTGCGCAGGCTGTCAGCACTTGTACCAACCTATCTGCCAGGGCAGGATTAGGGAGAGACAAGAAGCAGGATATTTTCCCCCTTAGAACTTAGAGAAGGATGTACTTTCTTTGATATAGATGAGGTGCCTTAAAGTCCTTATTTTTGTGTTTATATCTCACAGACAAATGAAAATTGAAATCCTTGCACTGTATCATGAGATAGTACCTGGCATCTCCTCATGCACATTCTGAGCTCCTTCAGTAAATGGACAATGGTTTTGTACTTCATTGTATTAACTATAATTCCAGGGTTGTAAATAGCAGGTACATAGTTAGTAATCAAATAAGCTTTGAATGTGCATGTAACTTTGTATAGTTATACTTGTCATAAAGATCAGAGTATAGATCCCAACTGCAGAGCACAGTATTCAAAATACCTAAGCTTTGAAGCTGATAGAATGAATAGGTGTGGTGTGTATGTGTGTTCAGGCTCTACCAACTTCATTGGTAGAAGTGACATTTACTTTGGAGGTGTATATCCTTTCTAAGCAGTGTGGACTCATGCCAGATAAAAGGAAAGGCCAGGACACCTTTATACCCTGAATAAATGGACAGGCATCTTTTGGTCTAAGTTTTTCATAGATTGTTAACTACTACTTCTGGAGAAAGACTGGATTAAAGCTATATTTCAATAAGAGCTTGATTAAGTGGACCTCATAAGGTGGAGATGCACAGCTTAGAGCTCCATTAAATTCAGAGTACTTAACTCCTGAGTAGATGGCAATGTATTCAATCAGTGAATGCTGGGTTAAGAACATTACAGTCTGGGTGCCTGGGTGGCTCAGTCATTTAAGCATCTGCCTTCAGTTCAGGTCATGATCCCAGTTCTGGGATCGAGCCCCACATCAGGCTCTGCTCAGCGGGGAGCCTCCTTCTCTCTCTCCCTCTGCTTACTTGTGCTCTCTCTCTCTCTGTCAAATAAATAAATTAAAAAAAAAAAAAAAAGAACATTAGGATAGCCATTACGTCTTCCTTCCTTCCTTCAACAAATATTTTCTGGGCACTGTCAATGCCCT